AGTTTTGTGAGTGCAAGTGTAGAAACGAACCATATAAAAACCAGTAAAATCAAGAGTAAAACGAACGAAATGAAGTAAATTTGTGAGGAATTGATAGTTCAAATGAAGGCAACTTGTTTAGTGTAGTTTTTACGGTTCAAGGAGGCTGTTGGTTCCTGGGATTTACATCTCGTGCCGCTAGACCGATGATCACCCAAGGTCATATTTTTCCAACGAGGAAATTTCACGATGCGCAGTTCATCTGTAATTTGTATCCGATATTAGTCTGTGACCAAGGCATTTTATGCAAAATCTCTCAAAAATCTGCTTCCGGGAAGTCGTTGTTTCTAGCACTAAGTGTTGGGGTGGCATATTCTGGGTCAGTTGGTATAGTGCTGAACTATTCCTGCAATGCGAATGAAGGTCGTGTCTGGTGTACGTGTGCCTCAAGTACCTCAATACATTATTGTTCTGTGTTGTTTATAAAGTTAAATTCGCCACGTGATCTGTTGAATTGAATCGGTTCGTTAAAATACAAATCGTTATTTCACATCGAAAGTGTGTTTATCAATCCCATAACTTCTGTTACGTTTGTGGAAGATTTATATTCATCATGAAAGGGACAAAATATATATGAAATTACAAAACTTGAGCATGCATTATTCTTTGGCTGTCGTGTTTGTGATCAGAGCAAACCATAGGCTGCTCATCAGTGTTGTGTCACCTATACAACGAACCTCAGTTTGTGGTTGAAGGAAAAAAATCATATCATTGTCATTCGCGCTACCAATGTTGTGGAGAATACTAAAAAACCGTTTTAATGTCCACACTGTAAATATCGTTACTGTACATGCGAAATTTGAAGCTCTTTTTCACTGAAACTGTTTGAGTTTTCGATAAACTTCATTTGAAGTCATTTGAAGCACTTCCACTCACAAGTACAATAATGTATACAAACCTCAGGAAATGTACATATAAATGGTAAACGGATTTTTCAAAAAAACAAAGGTTAGAGCAAAGTTAAAGTTATGTAATCTTGAGCAGTACAGTCAGCACTATCCGTACAAAAAGTGTGAAGAGAAAAGTTGTAGCCGTTTATGAAAAAAATGGTGCTCGAAATTTTCGGAATATGCAGAAATTTGGGCTCGTTTTCACAGAAACATTTTGAGTTTTCGAAAGATAACATTTAAATAAGATGTAATCATTAATGCATGTGATTTAATGCATGTGATGCATTAATGTAGTGTGAAGAAGTCACCGCTAATATAAATATTAACGACGGGAAAGGCTAACCAAATAGTATATTTTTGTGATTTTTGAAAAAATAAAAGAATAGAGCATAATATCGTTTATGTTATCTTAGAGTGTACATTTAACACTATCCCTAATAAACGTTTAAAGAAAAAATTGGAGTCGTTTTTGGGAAAAATTTTGTTTTTGTTATTTTTTAAAATTCTACATATTTTACGCAATATTGCGCGAGAACTACTAAAGGTTTTAAAAAAATATGCATGACCTTAATGTAAGGACTAATTATAGAGAAGAAACTTTTTTTGAAGGAAAAATCTATATCTTCAATATTGTAGTTGTAGGAAGATGCCGAAAAAATGCATATTTTTACAATTTTCGAAAATTTAGAGTTAACAGTAAAAAATAGACCTATGATACCTTTATATGTGTCTTTTACGCTCTTCTGACAAGAAATTTAAAGGAAAAAAATTGGAGTAATTTTTGAGAAAATTTTGAAAATGATCATAGTGTATTGTGTAAAGTACCCCCCAAAAATTAATGAATGTTTTTCGAAATCACAGAGCTTTGACTCAGACCAGATCGATAAGGGCAATTCAGTTTGGAAAACATCCAACGCATGGTTTAAGCACCTCCTATGCATTGGTTAGACAGACTGAGGACGTTTTGAAAAGAAACTTATTATTTAGTTTATTTCATTAAACTATATATTTAATATGTTTCGAAGTGTAATGAACAATTTTGAAAGGACAACCGAAGATGTTTGACAGATGGATGTTTAGTGAAATTAGAAATGCGTTGGAGTTCAATCAATGAACACGTAAAGGTTATAACGGACCGGAATAAAGTAATCGTGTATACTTTAGAGGAACAAAATAGGAAATTTGTTGCAGAACGATGCGATTGTTGCGTTGAAAATAAATCTGACCGAACAAATTAGAGCGACGCGGGAACACGTTTACCATGAGCTAGAGGGTCAATTTAGTGTAAAGATAAGAGCAACATGACAGAGCAATTGAATAGGTAAAAGAATTAACAACAAAGATGCGGGGAGATATCCAGTCCGCGACAGGGGAACGTAAAGACAGAGTAGGTCACAACGAAGAAATGCATGCCAGCGCCGCCAAAAAAAGGGGCGTATGATCATGGATGATTTTTGTTTTATTTTGGAGTGTTATTAAATGTTTTTGTATAGGGTCATATTGTATTTTCATCATGTATCTTGTTAACTCATAGCCCAGTTCTATTACTTTTCTGTGAGCACGACTTTGTATATTTTTTCACTAGTCTTTATAGAGCCATGATCCTACAATACAAACCCGACTGACAGACGATCGGTTATACTATATTATTGAAGTCTAAAGTAGATCAATAATTCATTTTTTAAGCTTGCCATACCGTGACTTGAAGTTGATGGAGCATCGTGGAACTTTTTTAAATGGCGTGTCTCTTATCAGATTCTCCCATTGAGGAAGAGCTACCAAGGATACAGTTTATTTATTAATTAAGAAGTAATTGTATAATGACACTAATAAATGAAATCGAAATTTAAATAAAAGGGAAATACACAGTCCAAATTACAATATAATTTTTGTTTGAGATACAAGGAGTGTTATTTCTCGTACTATTGAACTACGAAATCATAACCTTCTTTATTACTCGAATGTTTAGTGTCAAAGTACGTGCCAAAATGTCGCCTGTACAACTCATCAGCATTAGTGTTTTATGAGTTCAAGAGGGGAAACGAGTCGAACAAAAATAAGTAAAACCAAAAATGGAACGAACGAAATGAAGCAAATATGAATGGAATGCATAGTTGATATGAAGTGAAGGTGTTTCTATAGTTTTTGTGTTACAAGAATGGCTGAAAGTATCTGGACGATGTTTCTTGCGCCGGTACTTCTGTGACCATCCGAGGCAATATTGTTCCTGGAAGGAAACTTCTGGAGGAGCTGTTCATCAGTAATTCGTGCCAGAGGTTAGTCTACAACAAAGGCATTTTATGTAAAATCTCTCAAAAATCCGTTTCCGGGAATTCGTTGTTCCCAGCACTAACTTCATGAGGTCAGTGAATGGTGTCGTTTCTCTTGCAATTCCACACCAGCGACAAGCGAGCGAAATGTCTGTTTGAGACAAAGACGCTTTACATGAAGCTTACCTGGAACCAGCCTGCAGGGGCTGTCTCAGCTATTCCGTCACTTCCACGCACAGATCGAAGCGCGGGCCCCCAGAAGCGCCAGTGCGAGTGGTTATGAACATAATTCAAGAGGAAAATGTGACCAACGCGCTTAAGAACTTCTACGACTTAACCCTTTAGTGCGTGTTTAGAAAAGAAATGTATTTAGGAAACAGATCTGTCAATAAATGTTTCCGGCACCGTTTAATGGGAGATTTGTCATATGACGCCGGTGTACAATCACGCAAAAGACAAACAATGCCCATTGGATGAACAAAATTCGTGTGATAAAACATAATCGATGATACTTCTCTGAACTGCAATTATAATCTCTCATCAGAATTCGTCAGCGATGACACTGTTTCCTGTTATCGCTTTCCTGTTTGCAAATCCAATGAAACCAGAAACAAGGCAAGCGCATATCAAGCAAAACCAAGTGAGAAACTTGTAATTGTAAATTTGCAATGATGCATAACTCACTAGAATTGTTTAAAAAGAATTACCTCTATTGAAAATAGTTTGTTTGACTTTAATATAACAGTCGGCCAACTAACATTGTTTTTTTGGTTTGAAAAGGTAAATATAGAAACTTCATTCTACAACATTTTAATGAATTCTATTGGTTGAGTATGTAAAGGTGTATTTTTACACTGTACGTAGAGTGAATAAAAATAAAATTAATAAAAAAATGTATAAATCTTAAAGATAAAATAGATGCAGATGCGTTTAACTACAAAAATTAAACTAGGAATAGAAGAGATACATTTTTAGGTTTTATATTACGTAAAGAGTTCTTAATTTGATGGACTTCGCATTTGAAACTATTTTGGACTGGACGTTGGTGATGAAAGCGGAGAGCGTGTGTGTGGTGTTTGTGCTTGTGGTCTGGAGAGCGTCCTCCGCCCCATGCAGAGCCTCCTTCCCCAGCGTGGAGTGCGCGTGTGAGAACGGCGCCCTCGTGTCGTGGCTGTGGCGCTCCGTGCTGGAGGGCGGCGCGTGGGGGCGGGGCCCCAAGGAGGACCTGCGGCTCAGCTGGGGAGCGGGGCCGGGGGCGGGGGCGCTCGCCCTGTCGCGCCTCTTGCACCCCGCCGCCACCGCCCCGCTCCTCCTCTCCCGCGCCCCGCCACGCCCGCTCGCCCTCCGCCCCACGCACCGCCGCCGCCGCCACGTGCTCGCCGCCGCCGGCTGGCGCCACGTGCAGGCCTTCGCGGACAGCCTGCTCGTCTACGCCCCGGCCCAGGCAACTCGCTTCTTTGCTGTTCTGGACCCAACCCACGACGACTCTGGCGCGCTTTTCGAAGCAACAGAACCCAGGAATAATTATAGCAAACCCAAATTATTTGCTCAGTTACGTGTAGAGAAGTCCCAGTTTCTTTTGTGCAGTTGCGACGCGCATAAAATCCCTCCTTCGGCCAGACACGAACACGAGAAACCACGATCCACAGTGAGCGACACGTGTGACATCAGTGAAGACGTGCTCCCCGATACCGAAAACAAGACGGTGAAGGTGTATTCCGAATTCACGTTCGTCACCCCAATCCACCACATCTCGTGGGGCAGAAAAGGCAGAGTCGTTATTGACGGTCCCTTCGCCCACATGGCCCGCCTAGCTCTTCCCACGTCGCTCGTGCAAGTCGCAGTGTGGAGTTCGCGCGCCATGCAAGCGCTATCCGAGCAGTGCCGCCTCAGCGGCATAGCAGACGCCTGTTCAGAGGCCCTGCAAAAGCAGCGCGCGATCGTGTCGTTCACGCGCTGTAAACTACGAGTTGTACAAGCCGGGGCGGACGCGGCGGGAAGGCTGACATTCGCCCGTGGTGTGCAGGATCGCCGTTGTTGCCTGGTGTGCGGCGCTCGCGCCCGTGCCGTTTCAGCGCCCGTGCTGCTATCATCCCGCTGCCGGCCGCGGGTGTGGGCCGGCGGGTGGGCGCGGCGCTGCTGCCTCCGCACGCCGTTCTGGCACGCCGCCGCACTCCCGCACCCCCCGCGACGCTCCGCGCCCGTCCCCCTCGCGCGCTGCGGCCGGGTCTCGCGTGCTACTTTCCGGACGGCGGACGGCAAGCAGCGCACGCGTCGGCTTGGTTGAGATTGTAATGATTCCAGGGCGCGTCCATCTGTAGGTCAATTAGTGGCGTAAAGGCCATTCCAATGCGAACATCAAACGTAAGATGGCGTTAACATAAAGGTTAGGACACCGTCCATAAGCGGACTATTCACAAAGCGTTCACATGAACATAACACGTAAGACGTTAACTTAAAAGCTTGGCCAAAACTTCAGCTTCTGTACTTATGCTTATCGTTAGACATAAGAAAATGAACCAGAATCACAGAACCAGTAAACTTAAATCGAGAACACCGAAATTGGAGGGACGTCAATAGAAAAACTAAGCGCCATAATGGTCGCCATGAAACAGCAATCGATATCTTGAAATCGATTTTCACATCCAACCAGAAAGTCTCACGCCAATAGTACACTTATTTTTGCTTACGTTTAATTAGGCATTGAGAAATACATCAGTCTATCGCTGTATGTTAATGCTTGCATTGTGAATCGGGCGCTTAAGTTAGTGCATATTTCTTTCCTTCGAGAGGTCTTCCTCTTCTGGATAGCGCGATCTGGCGCGATCTTCAAATCAGTTCCTTCCTTGACCAGCCAGAATTTTATAATAATTGGAGGTCAGTTGCCTATATATTATAATTATTGTACTGATATTTATAAGCCAAGCCGAAATGAACATAAGAGTTTGACCCAGTTGCGCTTGGCAACAATGCGTTCTCGTTTTGTGATAATTATGTTGCGACAGAATACTGGATTATCAATCAAATGACTTGATAACTAGTTGGTTTCTCTCGTGAGAGTAAGAACATGATTGCTGCCTCCAGACTATTAATTTATCACACTCGCTTTGCTTAGAAATTTGGACGATTATATTATGAATTGCCCGCTGAGGTTTTAGTAAGCGCCACAAAATGAAGATTCGTCAACATTACGTAGCTGCTTTCAATAACGGAGAAACGCATGTGCTGTCGTTACTTTCTCGTGCTTAAAAAAAAGAAACTTTATTAAAAAATGCTGTCTCGAAAAACTGTCAGAATTTTTCGACAGAAAACTCCTATTACAGGCCTTGGAAACCAAAACTTGGATAAATTCCATTGCTAATTAAGGACATTTACGCAACGTGGTGTAACCAGAATCCTTGCTTTTGTGGTTCCTTGTATAACGCAAAAATATCAATTGACAGCAAAACGTGTCCGTCTGTCTTTCGCAGTGTTGTGTGGAACAACCGCACCGGTTAAACTGTGCAGC